CGCGCGGCGCTCACGGCCGGGTCCCCTCCGTCCCGCAGCGCTGTCCGTGCACCAGCTGGCCGCGCAGGGGGATCTCCGCCAGCTCAAGGAGCATCTGCGCAAAGGTACGTGGCTCGTCCGGGCTGCGCGCCGGCCTTGGCTGCAGCCAGAGGGGAGGGGGCAGAGGAGCAGCGGGGTGTGTTTCCTACCCCGATCACGTAGAGTCCTGCCGGGCCCTACGCAGCCTTTGATAGACTTTCGGGCTAATTTTAGAGCCTTTGCTGGGTTTCCTGGAAATGGGGAGCAGAGGCGGCTTTGTTCTTCCCATGCAAGAGGAGGCAGAGGAGCAGCGGGTTGTGTTTCCTACCCCGATCACGTAGAGTCCTGCCGGGCCCTACGCAGCCTTTGATAGACTTTCGGGCTAATTTTAGAGCCTTTGCTGGGTTTCCTGGAAATGGGGAGCAGAGGGGGCTTTGTTCTTCCCATGCAAGGTGCTTCGCTTCTGTTTGTGCAGGCGAGAACTTGGTAAATAAACCTGATGAGAGAGGCTTCACCCCGCTGATCTGGGCTGCTGCCTTCGGAGAGATCGAGACAGTCCGTCACCTGCTAGAATGGGTAAGGGCACGTGTGAGCGCAGCGTTGCGGTTAATGAGCTCGCTGCTGCATCGTTCTCCAGTGCTGGGCTTGCAGATGGGGAATGTGCTGGGCAGGAACCAGATCCCCCACCGCATCCTGGATCCAGTTGCTTCCCAAAGCTCAGTCCAGCTCAATGTATCTGCAGATGAGCTGGTCAAACACTGGCTTCACTGCTGCTTGAGCAGCAAGACTGCTATTCATCACGACAGAGACGAGGGGAAGCCAAAATAAGTGGGGGGATTCGATGATGAGGGATACCACAAAGTCCAGGAGAGGCCCACGGCTAGCAAGGCTCAGAGCACTGGGTGGGTTTTCCAGGTAAATCAGCAACGAAGAGACCCAGGCCACTATACAAGCCTCAACTAGACCAGATAATAATTAACGCTGTTACTAATGAGGGGGAAAAGGGCTCAGTAATGGGAACCATCAGCCTTAATTCACTAGCGCTGGAGAAAGGCTCTTAATCTTCCCCGGCGATGTTTGATCATTAAAATGGACCCGGTAAGGTGCCAGCAAGACGGGTGTTGTGCTGAGAGCCCCAGTTCTCAGCAGACTCCTTGGCGCTGTCCGCAGGGCGCCGACCCCCACGCGCTGGCGAAGGAGCGGGAGAGCGCCCTGTCCCTGGCCAGCATGGGCGGCTACACGGACATCGTCACCATGCTGCTCGAGAGGGACGTGGACATCAACATCTACGACTGGGTGAGTCCCAGGGGCACCCAACCCTGGCAGGGGCACCCAGCCCGGCACGGGCTCCGCAGAGCTCACCGTAAAAACAGCAGTGAGGACCCATTGCTGTGCATTAATCTGGATAATCATTTTAAATGGTTTCCTTAGTTGCTCATGCTGGGGATTTTACCAGCCACAAGGAACTGTGCTCATAAACTCCGGGTGTCCTAACATAATACAAAGTTATTGTATCGCTACAGAAAATCAGGGAATAAAACGTGCGCAGAGCTGCTCTGCAAGAAGACACCCAGCCTGGAGCTGGGAGAGGGGAAAAGGGGATCCAGCAGCTCCGGGACCTGCTGCTCTGGGGGAAACAGGGCCAGCGCGGGGCTCGGTGCCGAGCAGCACCGTGTTGTGCGGGGCGGGATAGTGGAGGGGGTTGAACTCCATGGAAATGCGGCTCCCGTGTGCTGGCACGTGGCGCCGAGCGCTGACGGTGCCGTCCCCATCCCCGCAGAACGGCGGCACCCCTCTGCTCTACGCCGTGCGAGGCAACCACGTGAAGTGCGTCGAGGCCCTGCTAGGTAACGGGGAAGATCCGCGCTGTCCTGGGCCTCAAACTGCAGCTGGTTGGAACGGCTGCGGGCAGAGGGAGCGCAGCGTTCCTGCGGGGAGCCCCCGGGGATGTCCCGGTGGGAATGCTGCATCCCTGCTGCCTGCCTGCAGCCCGCGGTGCTGACCTGACAACGGAGGCGGATTCTGGCTACACTCCCATGGATCTGGCTGTGGCTCTGGGACACAAGAAAGGCAAGTGTCCGCTGCGTGCTTGGCAAAGAGCCCGGTTTTCCCTCCCTGGAAAAAGCTCCAGGCAACTCCCAGCGCTGCCTGGGGCTTCCCTTGACCTTCGACTGCAGCTCCCTGTTCTGCTGCATAGAACCTGAGCCAGAGAAATCAGTGTGGGTCCTGTTCCCCCTCCTAAACGAGGGCTGCTCTGCAGAAGAGGCCTGGGCAGGGACAGGCCCTGGGAGAGAGCAGTTTCCCTACCTCCCACTGGAAAACGGGAGCCAAATGGTGACCAACCTGAGGATGTCAGAGCCGCAGCGATGCTGGCTTCTTTAAGGCTTGGTTTCCCTGTTTCATTTCCCTCCCTTGTCTTCCTTCCCTTAGTCCAGCAGGTCATTGAGAATCACATCCTGAGGCTCTTTCGGAGCAGGGAGCTGGTGTGACCCGGCTCGCGCTGCACGGCGCTGCCCTCGGCCAC